AAGATATGACAGAGACATTGAAGAAACTCCCTAGGAGCCATGGCACAACATGTTCAAATGCCTTCAATAGAGTAGAAGCTGTTAAAACACAGTTTAGACAATATAATCTTGTTTTTAATTTTTGTAAACACGCATGTATACAAATACTGAGCGAAAGCAGGCAGCCGTAATTTCCCAAAAACATTATTAACATTCTGCTGATAGATATATTTTCTTCTGTATGTAAATTTATTACAACTAACAGAGTTACGTTTGCAAACTGGGAAAGAAACTCAATGCTGTTTCTAGGCCTTCTTTTACACCTTGGGCACGGTTTCCCTGCCTCTACTTCTCCCACTTGTGACTAATAGCTGAGGAGGTTTCTAGAACTGACTTTCCAAGAATCAAGAGCTGACTTTCCAGAAAAACGGACATGTGCCAAATCCCTCCAACCAACAACCAAAGTGGACACCAAGTGAAAATAGTGAACAGTTTGTTGCCAAAAACAAAAAAAAAAAGGTACACATAAAGTAAAAGTAAGTTTATAAAAGAACATAAAGGGGCAAGAGATATTGCTCAGTGGTTAAGAGCACTGACTGCTCTTCCATGGGACCCAGATTCAATTCCCAGCATTAGCAAAGTAGCTCACAACTGTCTGTAAGTCAAGTACCAAGGGACCTGACACCCATGGCAAAACATATAAAATAAAAAATAAGTAAAAAAGAAACCAGTGCAATTTCAAGAATTGAAGGCTACATCAAACTTCAGAACAGGGGGGAGAAGGCAGTATGTGTCCTCTACCTGAGACCAAAGGAGAGAATGAAAGGCATTTTTTCAAGACAGATGGAAAGAAAGTTAAGTCGAGAACACCAACATCTTAAGAGGGTCCAAGGAGATAGGGATAATTCAGGAGACAAGTAATTAAATAGACCAAGGCTACAGCAATACCAAGCAAGACTCAGGAGCTGAACTTGCAAACCAGGCAGTTGCTGTCCCTGTCCCTTACCGGCATATGGGATGATGTCAGAGAGAAAGGCTTACAATAAGGACTCAATGGGAGAAGCAGGAATGGATGTCTCAAGAGCATAACCCCAGGAAGGCACTAAACCTCAGCAATGACCAGAATTACATCATCACACAAGGTTATCTCAGCAGCCTTCCCCTTGACCTCCATTCCAGTCCTCCCCTCTGCTCTTATCATGAAGCCCAGTCAAAGTCTTAAGACCAGGTCCTGGAAGCAGAGCTCTGAACAATACACCTGTGTCTTGGATGCTCATGGTGGGTGGAACACATCAATGCACAACAGACTGTACTCCGAGGTCTCAGATTCTCTTTTTCCTTGAGAATGTCCAGGGATCAGGCCCTTAGATCCAAGATCTTGGGAGGAAGGTGGAGTATGGTCAAGGACCCCCAAGGTATCTCTTCATGAGCCGCCTCATGGCCCCTATGACCTCCTTATTCCTCAGAGTGTAAACAAAAGGGTTGCACATGGGGGTAACAACCGTGTAGAAGATGGAAAGAATCTGGTCCGTGTCCCCAAGAGAATCGGCCTGGGGCCTCATGTAAGCTGCAGTCGCAGTCCCATAAAAGAGTATGACCACAAACAAGTGGGAGGAGCAGGTAGAAAAGATCTTTTGACGTCCCTCGGATGTTGCAACACCAAGTATAGTGGCAATGATACAGGCATAAGAGGCCACAATCAATGAGAAGGGCATGAAGATAAAAGCTACCGTGATGAAGAGATTCCCCACTTCACCCCAGAAAGTGCTTGCACTGGCCAGTCTCAGCACAGGCAGGATGTCACACAGGAAGTGATGGATGGTGTTGGCACCACGGAAAGGCAAAGTGAAGATGCAGACAGAGTGAATGGTGCCAGTGATGATGCCCGCAAAGTAAGAGGCCCCCACCAAGCTGGCACATGTTACCTGGTTCATCAGGGTGGTATATTGCAGGGGGCAGCAGATGGCAGCATATCGGTCATAAGCCATGACAGTGAGCAAACAGCATTCAGCAATGCCAAAAAGGGCAAAGAAGTACATCTGAGTGAAGCAGCTGGCCCGGGGGATGGTGGGGCAGGAGGACCGCAGGTCAGCCAACATCCTAGGCACAATGGTGGTGGTGTAGAGGATCTCCACCACGGAGAAGTGACGCAGGAAGAAGTACATGGGGGAGTGGAGGGCAGAGTCCGCCAGCGTGAGGAGGATGATCAGAGAGTTGCCCAGCAAGGTAACCACATAGATACACAGCACACCCCAAAACAGATGGCCCTGAAGAAAGCCAAAACCTGAGAACCCCAATAAAATGAACTCTGTTACTTCTGTACCATTGTCAAATCCCATGCTCCCAAAGCCAGACTAGAAAAAAGAGGGGCTAGAAACCTTTGCAGCAGTAAGGATGAAGAGTCGTCCATGAGAGCAGCTCAGCTTGCTGAGGAGGAGGAGGAGGAGGAGGAGGAGGAGGAGAATGCCTAAGAGGATGTTGAGGAGGATGCTGATGCTGAGGAGGAGGAGGAGGATGCTGAGAAGGATGCTGAGGAAAAGCCTTAGAACTTCAGCTGTTGCTGACTCCCACCCAAAAAAAAA